ACCTCACCTTTTGATTTCTTTAGCTCACCTTTTGCTACATTTACTTCACCTTTTGCTACTTTGACCTCACATTTTGCTACCTTTACCTCACCCTTTGCTACCTTTACCCCACCCTTTGCTACCTTTACCTCACCCTTTGCTACCTTTACCTCACCCTTTGCTACTTTGACCTGATGTTTTGCTACTTTGACCTCACAGTTTGCTCCTTTGACCTCACCCTTTGCTACCTATACCTCACCCTTTGCTACCTTTACCCCACCCTTTGCTACTTTGACCTCACCCTTTGCAACATTTACCTAACTTAATTTCTTTACCTCACATTTTGCTACCTTTACCTCACCCTTTGCTACCTTTACCTCACCCTTTGCTACCTTTACCTCACCCTTTGCTACTTTGACCTGATGTTTTGCTACTTTGACCTCACAGTTTGCTACTTTGACCTCACCCTTTGCTACCTTTACCTCACCCTTTGCTACTTTGACCTCACCCTTTGCTACTTTGACCTCACCCTTTGCTACTTTGACCTCACCCTTTGCTTCCTTTACCTCACCTTTTGCTTCCTTTACCTCACTTTTTTCTACTTTTACCTAATCTTTTGATACCTTTATCTTGCTTTTTTAGTGCAGCTTTCATTTAGCTTGTTTTTGCTTCCTCCATTCTTGTTTTAACTTTGAAAACTCAAAGTTTTAGCTTCTTCAGCAATTCCCAGAGAAGACCGTCAGCGCTCAGCATTCTCTCTGCATTTTCACAGAAATGTTTTTTTTTTCTCTCCCCCAGAGTTTTATTAAAGGTTTGATTACAAGTCTGGGGCGGCTGTGGCTGAGTGGTTAGAGCAGTTGTCCTCCAATGCGAGAGTTGGGGGTTCGAATCCACCAGCAGTCATATGCTGAAGTGTCCCTGGGCAAGACACTGAACCCCTCATAGCCTCTGATGTGTGTCCCATCAGTGTATGAATGTGACAAAGCTCTGATTAATCTCTTTAGAATGATTTGTTTAATTAGCTTTGTAGAGATCTAGTAGAGTGCTGTGTGAATGGGTAAATGAGGACACAGATTGTAGTGTAAAAGAGCTTTGAGTGTCTTGAAATAAGATAGAAAGGCGCTATATAAGTACAGTCCATTTACCATTTACAAGTCACACTGGGAAAATTAGAAAACAAGGGAAGTATGACTTGTTTGTAAGAAAGGGCTGTAGGAACAAAACCAGATCAAAGTGGAGGTGTTTACCCACAATGCACAGCAGCATGTTAGGAGAGAACCAAACATGGCCTGTCTTACCTGCAGATGTCTGCTTGAATGTCTCGCTCTTCTTCTTCCTCCATTTCCAGGGTTTAAACAGGCGACCTAAAGTGGCAAACTTGCTCCGTCGGCGGATAGGAGGCGTATGGGTCCCTGGTACCAGCGAGTCGGACCGCATTGATGCCAGCCGCTCCACCTCCTCAGCTGGAAGACCCAAACACAACAAGGTGATGAGCAAGCCTTTATTTAACCTTAATCACTTCTATCAAACATCCTTCATGATTCTGAATGTCCTTTAATAAAAAGCCAAACAGTTTTTAGATGTGCACAGAGAACAAATGATCCAGGATCTGATGAAACATTTTTACCCTGCTGAGACTCGACAAGCACACAAGCACGACCTCTGACCTCTGTGCAGCTGAATATCTGAATCTAATATGACTCAGTAGACAGGAGGACGATGTCAGCCCTGAGTGGAGACGTCAGGTCAGAGACCGTCATATGTCACCGTCAACGTATCTGAGCTTCTAAACTGTTCAGCAGCGTGAGTGTTGGTGTGTGCAAACAAAAATCCTGATCAGAGCACAGAACTAAACGTTGCCTTTCGATTTCATTCACAGCTTCAATCTTGACTTGATGACTCTGACGGGGCTGAAAAATATCTGGATCAGCTGAGCTGATGATCTCAAAGATTTGATGTGAATGTTCAAAACTGCTGAACGTCTGAATCAGGATTAGAGTTAAAGAGTTAACTAAGAAAAATAGGCTTCAGCTAGGGCCTCGTTGTTCATCTTATTCTACTTCTACTTTTTAGCTGCTGTTGTGCTATTTTTAGCTCATAACTGTTGCATTATATTTCTACTCTTTGGTGGTTGTTTAGCTGTACAGTGTCCTTTAGTGTTGTGCAGTCTCCTGAAAGGCATTTTTTAAATAAAATGCATTATTATTATTTTATTGTTCTACTATATTTAGCTAGCATTTAGCCATTGTTCAGCTACTTTTAGCTAGCATTTTTTTACTACCTTTTGCTTTTAAGTAGTGTTTTGTTTCTTTTAGCTAATCTGCTTTTTAAACATTTAATTTGCATTTCGATACTTTTAGATTTGAGCTAGCTTTTTGATACCTTTAGCTGTTGTTCAGCTACTTGTAGCTGCCATTCTGCAATTTTAGCTAGTCTTTTAATACTTTTAGCTTTCAGTTAACCTTTTTCTACTTTAAATGGTGTCTTTTTTTAGGTTTCAGTAAATGTTCTCCTTTTTAGCTGGCCTTTGGATTCATTTAATTAGCCTTTTGATACATTTAGCTGTCATTCAGCTACTTGTAGCTACCATTTTTGCTATATTAACTAGCCATTTGATATTTTTAGAGCTTAACCCAAACATTTTTAGAGCTTAAACTAAACTAAAGCTAATAACTATTTTAAATACCTCGTACATATGTTTGTTTATCTATAGTTAGATTTTTTTTCTTGTAATATTTAGGTAAGAAATGTTAGTTTTCAAATAATGCAGCTTTCAGTGATGTTCAATTGAAGCTGAGGATTGTGGAAGGGATGCAAATAAATTATATTGGCAGCTGTGCAGAAGAGAAAGACACTAAACATAGCTGATGATTTAAAAATATATAAAGAAGCTAAATTTACAAGTTTACTTTTAATTATAAACAAAATTGGTTTTCTTTGTGCAGTTCAATGAAAAGCCATTAAGTACATTTACATATTTCTGCCAGCAGGTGGCGCTCACTTCAAGTGAATAAAAAATAATTGAGTGTCAAAATGAGCTGCTGGTTGCAGGTTCACTCATTTCGTATACGCGTCATTTTCATTTCCAATACATTTGTGTTGATAGTTCAAGCTTTTCTACTTTAAAGTGAAATCTAAAATATTCAGTTCTGATACACACAGACAGATGTGAGCTAAAAGTAAGCAGCTGCAGTGAAGTATCCAGCTTCATGCCTTCAAACTACAAGCACAGACATCAGCAGAGACGAAAATATTCTGGGACGGAGACTTCCAGCACCCAGCTGAAGCGACTGAGGCTTAACGTGATGGGAAACAAGGACCAGGGGAGAAAAGCCGCCATGGCTCCTGGTCAAAAAAGGCCTCAAATGTTTTCTTCTTCTTATGACTTCAGGACCTCAGAACATTGTTAGCCAAGGCCAATAAATCATCTGTGTCACATAATGTTACTTTCAAGGTTTAATCAAAACAACTCCATCATCTGTCAACATAAGATGATCTTCATTGGAAATGGAACCATTTGTGACATTTTAAAATTCACAGGCTGCAGTTTAGATGATGGGGGAGTGGTGGCGCAGAGGCTAGGGCAGGTGGGCCTGTGATCAGAAGATCGCCGGTTTGACTCCCCGGAACGACAACATCAAAATGTGGGTGGGAAAGGTGAGACACCCACATCTGTCTCCACCCTCATCTGCCCCACTCTGGGCCCTTGAGCAAGGCCCTTAACCCCCAGCATCTGCTCCCACGGGTGCCCTAGATATCAGCTCTCTACTCCACGTAGAGGGCTGCGGTAGCTCAGTGGTCTGTGGTTGCGTCAGAAAGTGCATCGGCATTAAAAACAATTGCCAAGTCTTCATTCATTCATTCATTCATTCATTCATTCGACATTTATTTAAACAGACAAGTCACACTGAGCCTCGAAGACTCATCTACAAGTGAGATCTGTTTGGACAGACAATAAAAAGTGGTGAAAATGACACATGGGGTTTGGAGACAAAAAAAAAATCCTAACATGCTCTCAATCTGTGGCTGAAGGTTAACAGCATGACAATGAAAAACAAAAAACAAAAAAAAAACTCGCACAACCAGTACATAAGGACGCAGACATTGGGGGGGGGGGGGGGGGGACGCAAGGGCAGTGTATATGTCCAGAGACAACACACAGAAGCACTGCAGAGTTCAGATAAAATCACTCAGTTCAAATAGTTCCCTCTGGAGAGATCCGTGGGTTGGGGGGGGGGGGGGGGGGTCGAGGACGGACAAGGATGAATCCAAAGAGTCCTGAAATGATGACAGAATGTTTATTCAGCTGGGCCCCTCTGATTGGTCTGTAGACTTCCTTGGTAGGAGGGGATGGAGGGGCAGATCATCAGGTTTACTAAACTTCCAGGCGAATTAAGATAAGATGGCCTGTCAAGGCCAGTCAGGGAGCTGAATTCAGATGAACACAATTGTTTTGGGAACAGGCAGAACTTTAATGACATCTACCTGGACTCTGTGCCAGCCACACCAATGGATCATACCCGAGCGTAATCCCCAAGATCTGATCCATCCTGCCAAAAGCATTTGAGTCTGGGTGCTCGAGGCACAAAACAAACCATCACATAAAACTTCCTTGATTGTAGATAAAACCAGGTACCAGCTGGATCCAAAAAGCAGGAAACTAGTCATCATAAATCTAATATATATATATATATATATATATATATATATATATATATATATGTATATATATATGTATATATATATGTGTGTGTGTGTGTCCTGAACATCCACGAATGACAGCAGAGATAGACACGTCATCAAGTCTTCCAAGTCGATGAGATATCCAGATGCGTGCGTGCCAACAGGGCAAATCGGCTCACCTAAAGCCCGTATTCTCTTCGAAGAAATGTTATGAATCGAGTTGGAGGGACCAACTGACCAAATCCAAATCCATAGAAGAATTATGATTCGGAAGATTTGTAGAAGAGAGGCTCTAAAGCAGTTTCACAGACAGGACAGAGCAAAGCAAAGCAGAGAGGAAGAGGTGGAGATACGAGTCTGCCCTTGACAAGAGCAAGTGTTGAAGTTCATGCGTTAGTTTGCTGTGACGACCCCTGAGGAAGGGAACAGCCAAAAGAGAGAAGGCAGCTGCAGTTTAGATGCAATGTTGACTTTAACAAGCAGAAAATTCTTCATATTTTGCTTTAAAGAATTTGTCCTTTTGTTGCCTCAGGCTAAAGTTCTCCAGGTTTTCTTGTGTTTCACAGAAGTAGCACATAAAAATACCTCAGCACCAACAAGGTGCTAAAAGGTAGGAGCTGAAAGCTTTGAACAAACCGAAGGCTCAGCGCTCAGATCCAGTTCAATACTGGTTCTTTACCAAGTTTTTTTTTTATCAACACACAGCTCAGGCACAAAAATCAGTTTGAACGAGTCAGACCTTGTTCTTTGTCTAAAGTCAGCGAATAAAATACGTGGAAATTAACGAGAAGAAAACTCTGAAGGATCGTCAGAAAGCCTGAACTGCTGATCTTTACGACTTTTAAAAAAAAAAGTCTAGCTAAAGGTAGACTTGGCTGTTTCTGATGATCACCTTCCGTCTCCTCCCATCAGGACTTCAGTCTTTATCAGGAAAAAATATTAATCATCCTTCAGCCTTTGATGCTGCTGCTAAATTAGGCCCTGAACAGAGACGAGGATCCTCACAGTGAATGTAAGATTAATGAGCTCCTGATGACAGCTCAGTCCTTCTGTTCAGACTCGGAAATCATTTCACCTTCACTTTCCCAGCTGGTCAATTATCCTCCTCCATGATTAAGGTGTTCTCCGGCTGCAGGGCTCTTAAATTTGACATGCAGCTGTCTTCAGTTGATGCACACTGAGCACATGTGAGAAGCTGAACATGGAGCGTTTCGCACGCAGCAGGAGCGCCGACCTGCACTGCTATAAACTTCACAGATGCTCTTCAGGAGAGACACGGGGGGCAAAGAGGTCAAACTTAACGCAGATAACAGCTGCATTGCATATAGACTTTATCAGAAAGTGACCCAGAAGCTCATTTAGTTTCACTTCATCCATCAACCCAAAGATATGCTGTTGCAAAGGGAAAGATCATCTTCACTCATATGAACTGACCTAATTCAGGGAAAATAATGCAATATTTAAACAAGATAATGCTCTGATTTGTCATGGAACTTGCACGAGAAACAAAAAAAACACAGAGTCTCAATTTAATTTTATAAACTGAACTAATTTTTAACAGTTGATCAGCTGATCCTCTAAAAGCCTTGTGCACCTTATTATATTATAATTGTTCAAATTCAATTCAAATTCAAAAATACTTTATTAATCCCAAAGGGAAATTATTTGTTGTTGTAACTCGTTATCCTCATTTCATTAAGAGATGTTATAGATGCTGATGCTGTAGGCAGGAAGGATCTCTTGTAAAGGTCCATCCCACAGTGGATCCTAAGAAACTGGC